TACTCATCTGTATTGCCTACAGTACTTTTTCCCCCTTAAACATATTTTTTGGTTAAATTTGGGGGCAGGAGGGGGAGAAGTATAATTAATATCATTTTTATTTAATCTTTTTGAATTAAAATATAGCTTATGATCCATGCAGGGACTTGGAGAGAATTAAAACATAAGAAGCCTGCTTTCTTTTATGCAGTCATTCTTGCAGCCAAAAGAAATGCTCTATAATGCTAAACCGTCATCACTTCCCTTCACTATAAAGCCACTCTAATGCTCTCAGAACAGCCACGGTACCTTCTATTCTTTTATGCTGATGAATCTGATTAGAATAAAATAACCTCCTGTTAATCATAAATATCTCCCTGGAAATAATCTGCTCAAATAGAGAAAATCCTGCTCGGAGGCATTTTCCCTAAGCTGCCAAGGTGGACTCCTTAGCTTCTGTGATAGCCTGTATGAGACTGCAGTTCCCTCATCAGTTTCATAATGCTCAGAATGCTTCCATTTACATCACTGTGTGCAGTGCAGGGCAGCCGGCTGCCAGGAAATTTGAAACTATTTTGATTCCCGTTGACTAGAACAGCAGCAATTGAATTAGCTTGTATCATTATAGATAAACTGATGATCGGTGCATTTTCATTGACCAATGGGTAACTGCTGGAGCTACAGTAACCTCTGTGAGTAGGAAGCCTGTTCAAGCAACTATATCTATTTATCTCGCTCGCTAATAGGGAGAGATGCACACATTTTTTGTCAATGTTTCTGTAAAAAATGTCTTTCTGTATGTGTAATGTGGGGTGTTTTTTGCTTCCTAGCCTTTCCTTTATTGTGTCAGGAGCAAGCTCCTATGGTGGATTGCAATTCAACAGTTATTTATCCTGTGATATCTGTGCCAATGCTGATTAAGTAATGGATTGTTTAAATCTCTAGTCATCAGAAAGGTGCCAGCTGCTGTCAGGCTATATTTGCCCAGTGTCTCGGCTTTCTGTGCAGGCACCTCTTCTCATTATAGCTGAGAGCCTTTTTTTTTTAGTATATTTTGCTTGATCACAAGAAGCAACCTTAAATGGAAAGTAGAAATTGATGTTACCTGAAAAAATGTGTCGTCTTTGCATTTGCTTTTCAGCTCGCCTTGGGCAGGTCCCGAAATTTTGCGTTTCCTTTTCCAGCCCTGTTTGTAATGCAGTCATATTGGGGGATGGGGGCTTGACAGGATATGCCGGTTGCTGTAGCAAGACATGATGCTGTGGTGGTGGATGGGAATAAGGGAGGAGTCTCTCTTAAAGAGCTAAAGTTCCTTTAGATTTTACTACCTGAAATAAGGGTATGGGCTCTACTGGCAGCGGCTTGTGTTTTTTAAGAACAGGTGGGTATGCTGGTAGCCTTCCAGCATATTTTACTGCAGGGAATAGAGATCAGGGTAAAATGAATGTGGGAGCCTGATGCTGTTGGACTTATCGGCATCGGTTATAGCTTTGATTCATTTTCCACGTGCTTGCTTTATTAGCTGTTCATATTGACACTAACTGGAGGTGTTGTATTTTCCGTCTCTCCCTGGGACTCTATTAATGGGCTAGAGACCTATGTGTACCAGTGCCTGTTGCAGCCTTGTGGTGCTGTAAATGGCCTTGAATGTGAACTTTACAATGGCAGACTGGTGTGATCAGGAGCTGATGTACATGAGAATAGAGCCCTTACTCTCTACTGCAGGCTTGTGCTTTTTTTTTTTTTTTCTTAAACATGAGCCTCCTTAATAGCATGTTTATATTCCTTCACATTCCAGATGGAGAGAGAGAGAGACAGACAGACGGACAGAGTATTAATTACTCTAGGCCTGACAGAGTTGTGATATTGGTCACTCAAAGGTTTAACATGGAAAATAAAAAACATTAGAAACTTGATGTGAATTGTTTTTTGCTCTACTTAACCAGCTACCCTGACAGATCTGGTTTGTGGGGAAGCCCATGGCTGGGCCCTGTGTCCATTACCAGAAGGCTGAGGTCAGCGTTGTTTCCTTGGGATTATTTTGGAAGCAAAAGTAGCTGTTGAGTTTGGCATATCCCACCTGTGGGCAATCCTGGGTTTAGGTTGAAGCCTACCCATGAACTGTGTTTTACTTGTGGAAATCTCACAAGGCAAAGCTCAGTATGTCTCCTGCTAAGCATTTCAGAAACATATCAGCTACTCATAAAACAGGAGAGTTGCTCAATCTGTTCTTGAGCATTAAAAAGCTGGCTTGCCCATTTAGATGCATTTTAGGTAGACAGTTGAAGTAAGGGACTCTTAATAAGCAGTCCTTTCTTTAAATAATCTAATTTAGCTGTGTGTGGTGAGTTACGGGTTAGTGAGTGCTATCGTTTAGGAGTAAGTCAGCCACCACGCAATGGGGACTTTGAGTCTCCTTTTGATCTCTTGTAAATTTGAAGTCCTCTGCTGAAGTTCAACAGCTAGCCAAACAGGTGGTTTGACATTGGTCTACTTTTTAAAATTCTTTGTGATCTTTTTCAAAGTCAGGTGGGTCTGTAGTTCCCCAGGTGCTCCTAGGGAAGTGGTAGTACTTAAAAAGGAAGTTGTGTATATTGAATAACTGACATATGGGTTTTTACATGGGGAAGCAGAAGTAATCAGAATATACCTATTTGCTGCATCCGGAATAGGAAACCCTGTTGTTTCTAGTTGCGGTGGGGCTAAATGACCATTATACTGAAAACCAAGCTGTTAAATTGGACCTCAGTGCAAAGCACTCTGAGTTTGTCTAGCTTGGCCTCTGAGAGGGGCTTCATTTTTGAAATTTGAGTGTACTTCTAGATCTGGTCCCTATGCACAGTTCAGACTAGGTGGGGACATGAAGACAAGAGATGCTTTGATTTGGAGCTGGGTACGTTTCCAGGTTTAAAACATAGAATATTCAAATAAAGATTGCTACAACTAGGGTCTAAAATGTGCCTCTGCTTTTCTTTAGAATAACCAAGTAACTGCTTGGGGCCAGATTGTTCTGTAAGTGCTTAGCAACCACAGATGGGGTTGGAGTTCTCTAAAAAGCCTTGTCAGTCCTCACTGATGCACCTAACTAAAGTGGCCAGATAGTCATAATTGTAGCATCCAGCAGCTCTTGTCAAGAACAGCTGATTTAGTGTTATCTGAGAACAATGGGAGCTACTGGGTGCTGAGCTCTTTTGAAAATTTGGCCTTCAGTTTTCTCAATTGCCTTTTTTCATCAACTTGAAAAACAAGGCTGAAAAAACAGTTTTTTGTATGGCGCTAAATTGATTTTTTTTAAATAGAAGGTTGTGAAGTATACTATTACACTTCCCTGTATTGCTGCAGTTTGAACTTAAATTCTACAAGTTTTTAAGGATGTTGTAGAGGCAGAAAATTTCATGGTTCTTTAGTTACTTTATAATTAGCTAAGGGGAGGCTTTTGGCATTGCCAGTTTTGTCTGTCTGTCTTTGTGGGGTGTGTGGGATGTAACCAGCTGTGTTCCATGCACGAGAAGTGTGCGGGCCGGCTCCCGATCTCGGGGGCGAGCCGGGCCTTACACCCAAGGTGGTCGCGGTGTAGGCTGGTCAGCTTTCCAGGCACAGCTCCGCTTGAGTTCTCGGTGGAGGACTCTGATAGACTTGGTTCCTGACCCCGGAGCGGTTTAGGCTCCGCGGGTTTAACAATTCTCTCTCACAGAGCAGCTGAATCTCCGTGGGTTTCACTCGGTTCCCAGGTCCCCCGGAGCTGTTAAGACTCCGTGGGTTCGACAATTGGGTCCTTAGGATAGGGATACGTCTGGACTGCAATCGGCGACAGGGAGAGGCTAGAGGTTATATGCCCCGGAGTTGTTAAGGCTCCGGGGGTTCGGTAAATAGGTCCCCCGGAGTTGTTGAAGCTCCGTGGGTTCGACAAATTAAACCTCTGTTGCCCTCTTAAGGAAAAACCTGGGTTCGAAGGGATCAGCAGCGCTTAGAGATCCTCACGCTCCTTTCCCGAACTCCACGTGCTTTCTCTCTCTCCGACTTGGGCGTAAACTACCCAAGCCTTTTGTACAGCTAGCAAGCCAATAGCTAGCTGCCACGTGTGCCTATATTAAGATCGGCCAATAATGTGGCGGAAATCTCAATACAAATGGCGGGAACTTCCTTGTACCGTGCATCACTATAATGCAAAAGAAATGCATGATGCAAAGAAGGCTAGAGAACTGGCAGGAAAAGCTCCTGCACGCAGGTTCTTAATTGCAACAGAATACTCCACTGTGCAAAAGAGCTGCAATTTAGCGGGAGCACAATTTAGCAATGCCAAAGCACACACAAACAAAAAAAACACAACTTTGGGTTGTGACAAGAAGATGTAAAAATAGAAAACAACAATAAAATTACAGATAGGCTGGGCACATCTAAATGTGCGCTTTAATACACAGTAGCTTATTCTACTATCCATTAAAGTGGCACATAAAAACCTGTGCTAATATGCTAATGCACAGTAGAACAGGCTACTGCACATTAAGAGTGACCTAGAAAGCATGTGTTTGCTCTACTGTGCATTAGCGCAGCCTAATGTGCATTTATTTAGTACCTTATATTGGAGGTACTAAATTTAATACACATTAGGAAAAGCACATTAGTGCACACGTAGATGCGCCCACTGTGTCCTGATATGAAACCTCCAAATACTGGCTTTCTTTGATTCTCATATCTAGTGCACATCTCAGAGTATTCATGGGCCTTTGGGACCCTGCTGATGTCCAGCAAA